AAAGCTATACAAAAAACCAGTATCAAATCATGGATGCAAACCAAATCTCAAGAATGGTGGAACAACTCGCCAGGAATGAGACAGGCAAAAGAGTTTATTAAAAAAACCATCGCCAACACTCACAGAATATCTACTGAGCCAGAAACGGAGTACAACTAGAATATTAGTGGGACTTCTCACCAATGAACTCAATATTTGCTTCTCACAGGCCCAACAAACACATAAGTACGATAGGTCTGACTGAAGAACTGCTGTGCAGGTTCTGTCAGGAAGAGGAGGAAACTTTGCCACTGTGAGGGCTTGTCAAGACTAAGGTTCCTCACGCTGGGTGAGGAAAAACCAAGAGCCCAAAGGTACACAGGGGATCTGAAAGCTGGCTTATGGAGTCTCATAGAAGAGGCGCGGCTAGCCCTAAGAACTCTAAACGATTTTGAGGGCAGACACTGAAGAGGTCGCGGTGTGGAGGCAGATATCCCGAAGGTCCCACTCTGAATCTCATCTAAAATCTAAACCCTCTCTATTATCTCATTTTCTCATGTTCATAATTCATCTGAGAATGTTCCTTTTCAATACTTTCACCCAATCAAAAGGTTCAAACTCGAACGATGGAAACTTGTTTCTATATTTATTTTTATAGACCTTCAATCGCAGATTCGTGGTTGGGTTTTCTCAATTCAGAATCTCTTTCCACGTCCTGTATGATGAATTTCAATATGTCTTACTTCCATCCATCTTACGCAATTTAGTTTGGGAAGTGTTATTTTCCCGCAGTAGTGCGGGAAAAGTTTTTCCACACTAGTGCGGGAAATTTTTCCTACGCTAGTCTTGAGAAATGTATGAAAAGCTCTACACGGGATTTATTGAATGGTGCAATAGTAAAAAATTGAGAACACCAAATAAAGAAGAAGTATTTTTGGCTCATTTCCTAGAAATGTCTGAAACCTAGAGGCCAAACACTATGGGCATGCTGGCTTCCGCAATAAGCTTACCTCGAAGCTTACATACATAATGCTTCAAACGGTACACACAATAGATATCACTCAATTTTTGGAATACCCATGTAGAGGTGATAAATGATTCAAAAATGTATTACATGTATATCAATAATAGCGGAGCAATTCATTTCCATCGATACCATCCATTTCTGAGAAATCTTCTGAAACAGGAGGATTTTTTTCAATTTGACACATTTACAAGAAGAAATCAAATATAAAGGGTGATTCATTTTTGACTTACAAACTATCAATGTGCAATACAATTTTAAATTCAGCCTCCTATGGAGATTCCAAAAATCGTCAGGTTATATACTGGTACGATCGTACGAAGCTACTGTGTTTGAGAATTTTGTGGAAATCTTATATCGTTTGTGAAGTTACCAGTAAATTTTTTAACCAGTGGTTCAACCCTCACAGCCATCTAGATAAAGAGATAAATTTCACCCGAAAATTATACAACTGTATGTAAAATGATCTCCTGTACCTACCCGAAACTGTGAAAATTTACACTGTGTCTCATTTGAAAATCAAAAGTTGAGGTCATTTCCAGCCTAGTTTCCAGCGACACCGGAAATAACTTGAAAAGCTTGGCATAATCTTATCAGTGAATGCAAAATATGATTTACATCTCGAACGATTCAAAAGTTACAGGGGCGTCCCCGGTTCTATGGCCAACCGGATAACATAATTATACAAAAAAATTTAGGAATGACAAATACAGAGGTACCTACATAATATGGTTTGAAATTATATTTTTGAAAATAGATATACCTCATATAATTTATATTCAGTATGATGCAAATGTATGGAATAAATTCATTATTTCAGAAATGGGCGACATTTGAAAAAATTCCAAAAACACGTGAGTTTTAATTTCCGGTGTTGGAGTAAAGACGTAATGAACGATTTTTTCAAATACAAATAGGGGTTATGTGACACCTTGATTGAAAGGTCTACCGATCGACTATTCAACAGTCAAAATGTTGCATAAGAAGATTGAAATTAAAATGGATCATCATGCGATTGATTGAATCTTGCAGAGGTCTGCTACTGAGAATTGAACATCGAAGGGTCGTCTAGTTAAAAAAATACGTCGAAAAAAAAGTTCTAAACTCTAGTTTTTGTTTTTTTTTCGAAAGTCGTCTTGTTTTGATAAACCTGTAACTATACCTATACATGTTTTCATGACATTTGTTTTTGTGTTTGTGATAATACGATGATAGTCGAAAGTGGAATTAGGACTGTCAAAGAATTCGATTAGAATCAAAAAGATATAGGTGAAATCAGCCAAGTGCATCATTTTGCTCTCAACATTATTTTGGAATCCTAAAAATATTACACCACATCTGTTCCCACATTTCACGAATTTTTGATATTGGCACAAACAAAATCTGTAGAGATATGAGAAATACCTCCACTTATCGAGCCATTTATTCAAATATCATCAAGCTTCAGTTTTCCATTTCCTGAGGGAAAACATGCCAGATTGGTCGAAAAACGCTCAAAATAATCCGACAAATAATCTAGTTATCATGCCGCTTAAAAAACGAATTGATTCTTACTTTATAATTTTCATCGCTGACAGCTGCCTATCGCACGCTCACTTTCATTTTTTAGGGAAATCAAATCTTTCACGACATTCTAATAAGACAACAAATCAAAACAGGATCAAAACCGCGTAGTCGCTCCTCTGTGTTGATATGAGGAGTTTAGCGCTCTCTACTGCTACGGTTACGGAACGTTTTTACTTGACTGCGGAGTGCGGAACAAAACCGGTGGATTTTCATTTCGACGTGTTTTCTTTGCTGCCTGCCAGCAGATGAAGCTATCGTTACTATGGTTACAGCCGGGTGATACGGCAAACTAGCCATCTGGCGGTGATTAAACGAATCACCACATGCCTGGCTGCGTCTGAATAGTAGCGATCTGCAAATTAAGAAGACTTGTCAGCGTACAGGTTTGTATATGCAACTGGTATTTTCCAGTAGTTGCAATGCTGGTTGCGGACTTCTCATATATGAATGAAGCGTGTTCAACGGATAGAGAACCTATTCCTTTATGGGTTTGATTTCATCCGACTAGGGGAAAATATGTGATATCACATCATCATGGAAATGAAATCAGAACTACTTATTTTAAAATTTTTCAGAAACAGCAATTTTTGAATATCCATCTCAGATGGCGCTAAGACTTCGGTAATCTTCGTGTGGTCTCGTTTGGCGGTTTTTTTTACTGCGCAGTCTCCGTTTAGCAAAATTCACCATTTTATCGTTGTTTGCACCACCTGCGATCCGGTGCGAATGTTTAGTTACTAGTTACTGGATATCCTCCGAAAATTCTGGTTTTACTCGCCATTCAGTCAATAGAAAATAGTGCTAGTTATTCCTATAAGCAAACACTTACAAAATGAGTACTGAAAACGTATCGCCTGTCCTAAATCTAGAAAAATGTACTGTAATTTTACTCGATGTTGCCGGCACCACCACATCACATAGCTACGTAAAGGTGAGATAATTTTTCTATTTTTTGTCCACACGAAAAAACAGTTGAATGTTCACAAGTTCTTGTTGATAGAAATGTTCAATTATTGTAAATACTTGGATAATTTTTTCTTTCATCTATCAGGTTTGTCTGTTTTGTTCTTGTTTTTTATGGCATGGATGCCTGGATGCCGGACAATTCTCATTCATTTGATTACAATTTTCAGCGATAATCCGTTCGTAATACATGTGTAAAAATAGCTCTGATTTTTAACACGTGTTCTTAATTTAAAAGTTGTGTTGTCGTCCTTGAAAATTCAGCCCCTTGTTCCATACATAGTGCATTCACATCTGGGTACAGCCGATTCAAGATGCCTTGCAACAATTTGCAATTTATGCAGATCTGAATTCAGGTATTTTGGACCTTTAGAATCGTCGGCCATCAGCTGTGTCGTGGGTTTTCCAGGAAGGGGATTACTGTTACTATTGTTTGGCAGATGGTATTTGAAAAGATCTCATATTTGGGGTACCTGATACCTGCTAAGGCTAGGTAGGTACTATATTGGAATCGGTTGAAATATTCAGTTCAAATACATAGGTACCTAGTGAGTTGTATATCAAATCAAATGATCTGTTCACTGTTTTCATTTTAAACTACCTATTTATGTAACAACTGTCAAAATGGACTTTTTGGCTAAGAATGAGAATTGAGAATTGCAATGCAAGTATAGAAGTATACTATGTTGGAGGGGAAGGGGGTAATTGATAATTACTAAGTAGCTTGAAGTGAAAAGCTTCTTTCCAAAAAGGCACTGCACTATGAATCAGCTGATATTTCCTGCAGCTAGCCAGCTACACCAACGAATTTCAAACGGACGATGAAAATTGAATTGAAGAGGAAAATCACAATTTTAATTTTAAAATTCCATATCTAATTTAACTGATTTCTCGGTATAGGTATATATCTATTATAACTATGCTCATATTGTATTTCCAGTGTAATTCACACCTGCCCAAGACCAGGTGGAGATAAACTACACTGTTGTGAAATGCACTTCTCAAAAGAATGCTCAAATCTCATTTTTCATACAAAAGAAAGGGCCTAAAGTAAACCAGAGTCTTTCTATCAGCATAAGTGGGAAATATGTCCTCATATTATTCCCCGTATTATTCGTTTGTGCAAGCAAAATTTTGTTTCTGTAACTGTTGAAAAAAGTGACCTGGTTTTGTGTGGGTACACAGTTGAGAATGTCATAATACTTGCTTTTACAGAAAACTGTATTATTGGAAATAAATTATTTGGATATGATAGTAATTACCCAACATCGAAAATTTCATGCAATACATATCTCCGCCATATCCATATGCTTATATTTTTCTTCAATTCAAGATATATTTCCAAGTGAAAAATGAGAATAGGTAACATTTCACAAGACATTACATCTGATGAGTATTCAGATATCCATGCAAAGAATCAGGACAAAACTTTTGGTAATAATTCAATGAGAATTTTATTTTAGAAAAATTATGCAAATTCTACAATGGTGTGGGCAGTGTCTGGAACAAGTGAGATTCAACTCATTGTGTAGAATTAGAAAAAAAACATTGATGGCGGCTAAAGCTAAGTCAAAATACATACAAATCACTTTGTATAATACATGGTATTATTTATGATGAAAAAGTATTCAGAACCTGTGAAAACATAATCAGGACCGAATTTGAAAAAAAAAAACTTCACATATATGAATCAATATCACCACATTAAATCTAATCAAATGTTGCTCAGTTCTGCCGTATATCCAGTTATAAGGTAGAAACGGATTTTCCAATTCACCCATTTTCAAAACAACTGAAAAAGTTTTGAAAAATTTCAAAGGCTGTTGAAACTACCCTGGGAATAAGTGACTATTTTCCCATTTAACCGTCTTTGTGTCTCCTACCGTTTTCGAGATCCTGAAAGATACTAACAATTTTTTTGTCATAGAAACTGAGAAAAAATCCTAATCCTAATCTCCTATTGATCTACAGATGTGTTCATTAATTTTTGTTTATTTTTCACTTGTCCATTTCTGCTTCATAATGGTTGCTATTAACAGACCAATAGCGCCCGCAAATTGTTTTTTTCTGTAGTTCATAATAGTTATTAATGTATCAAAGGCGTAAAGTAGGCCCTCGGCTAACGCCATCTGGCCATTATTCACGCCGCAGGCCATAAACTCATTTTACGCACGTGATACATACAAAATTGTATACACTAGTGGTTTATTTCTCGAGTCAAAAGTAATGACTAGATTTCAACAAACTACAATTCATATGTTACTCATAAATTCAGTTTTCAAGAGAAGCGCAATGTTTATGTATCTAATCTACATATTAAAATTACCGTACGAATTTCGCAATTATAGTAAGAGTTAAACTCTTTGTTCACTAACAGATATTCATTCCTTGAGATGTAACAATATGGATACCCAGTATATAGCAACCTAAATTTGACGTTGGCTAAAAACTTCAGACAGCCAGAAAGCAACTATTCAAAGAAGGAAGTTATAGCAAAGATGGAATCGGATGAACAACATGTATCATAATCATAACGATAGAATCAGCTGAGAGTTCAAATATAGGTATTCCACAAATGGATGTGTGGATATGAGGGACTTGAGAACAGCGGGCGTTAAAGTACACTTTATGGCCCGTGGGCGATAATGGGCCTGCGGGCGGTAAAGTACCACTTTACGCCTGCAAATCTGGGCGATAAAGTGCACGTTACCGCCCGCCAGGGCATAAAATTGCATTATTTTTCACTTTTCCATTACTGCTTTATAATACCTTGGCAATGGTTGCTATCCTTTTGCTATTAATAGATAGACCCATAATGCAAGATTACACAAAGAAAGCAGCAATGACATTCATTAAATTAAATGATGACAGCAATATTCAACAAACTTCAAAGTATCAACAAATGCCATGAATACCAGGAGGAGAAAAATTGAAAGAAAATGCTAGGAGCAATGAACCGCTTCTTGAAATCGATTTTTCATTATAATAAGATGATTTTTTCGTGAAGAATAAAATCTTGTATGAACCTGGTACAAGGTGATTCGCTATAATTGCCCCCCCCCTCTAGCTCAATTATTTTTTAACCGATTGCAAAATTTTAAATATCATCTAAAATGATTTTCGATAGAGATTTTTTCCGCTACCTCAGAAAATACAAGGTGCTCGGAACAAATGATCTACAGGGTACTATTAAATGGAACATCCTATTTTTCATTGTATTTTTAGATTCTCCCTGAAGAGCTGATTTCATCAATGTATCACACTTGGGTCTAGCGAAAATTATTACAGAAATATAGGGTGTTCAAAATCGAGATATTTCAACTTTTTTCTGTGACGAAACTATTATATTCATTATCATTATTGGTCAAAACGGCTTTCATGTCCTTATCTTAACTTTTGATTCACTATCTACTGACATTTAATAATTGGAACAGATACAGGGTGATCAGAATTCTGAATCTTGAACCACACGGGTAAATGTTCCAATTAAATGCCAGTAGATATTAAATCAAAAGTTGAGACAGGGACATTGAAGCCGTTTTGAGCGATAATGAATAGTTTCGACACAAAAAAATCATAAAGTTCAAAAATCTCGATTTTGAACACCCTATATCTCTGTAATCATTCCCGCTAGACCCCAAGTGTGATACATTGATAAAATCAGCTCTTCAGGGAGATTCTAAAAATATTATGAAATGCAGGGTGTTCCATTTGAAAAAATCAAGTAGTACTCTTTAGGTCGTTTGTTCAGAGCACCCTGAATTTTCTGATGCAAAGGGAAAAAAATTCTAAATCGGTTCAAAAGTAAGTGAGCTGGAGGGGGAGCATTTATGGTGAATCACCCTGTACATAAATATCTATTTTGTTCAAACTCTATTTCAACATAATTCAATAGATCATTTGAGCTTGAAATGAAAATGAATAATAATTTTTTCAATGGAACTTTCATAGGATACCCTTCTGACATTTGTGTCCAAACAAGCTGAAGAGTATCTGAAGACCAACTGGGATGAAAGTTCTGTCAAAGAGGCAGTCAAAGCTCTGAAAGATGATTCTCTTGATCTTGCCGCCGCAAGCTCTCTAGTCAAGGAGCTCTCTGAGAAAAACGACGAAAATGTGGGACTGAAAACCATTCAAGGGCTGATCTACAAGAGCGGATATGACAGCGGTGATCTCAAAGCACAGTAAGTTCTGATTGGTTCCGTGTTGTTTTTGTTTTGCATGTTAGCATCACCAAGTACTAGGTCATCAATTATCTAAACTAGAGTGTCTTAAACATCTCATTTATCTAGACTAAGTGAAACTAACATTCAAGACCTTGAAAACAATTATTTATTGACAGATGCATGATTCACATTGAAATCAGGATGTTCAAATTTGACATCCTTTAGTTGTGTAGATGAATTTTACAAATGAGTATATATATTCAAGGCAGTTTTAGAAAATTTGAAATATATCATTTCATTTTTGCATATTTGAATTATGTATGTAGACTTTCTGAAATATATCTGAATTACACATTCATGAACCGGGCGGAGTCGTATTTTGGTAAATATTGAAATTTGAATAGATACTTTAGAACTTTTTTGTATCATGTGAAGAACTTTAGAAATTCAACAGGAACACTATGTATTTTTTTTCCATTATTGAAATGGAACCTCAATATCAAGTCTTCATATCACTCGTTTATGTAAAAAACATCAAGGAATTGAGATTGTTTATCTATACAGGGTGTTTCAAAACTCTGTATCAAGATTTCAGTAGCTTATTCTTCAGATGAACATGAAAGTTTTTTCTATAAACATATTCAGATCAAATTTGGTACATAGGCTACATTTTAGGACTCAGATTATACAGTATGTCAAATGATTGTAAGAATCTACAAGGAGATATTTTAAAAGGGGTCAATCCCTTTTTTTCTTCATAAACTTGTTAGTTGTGCTTCACTGGTAGATATTAAAATACTGAATAATTTCTTTATTTGTTTGTAAACTTTCTTGTTACTTGTAATTTTTACGCCATTATTTGGAAAATTGAAAAAACCTTGAAGCTTCAATCCTCTGTATATCGGTCGCTTGTACCAGTTGCTCTAGGATATTGTCGGGATTTTTTTTTAATCCGTTTTGTCGGCATAAATTTGAATGGCAGAGAATAAACAATGCTGACAATACAGTGTTCGGGCATGTTTCCGTGTGATATCCCGAAAAAGACTAAGAATAATATTACTAATATAGATGAAAACAAGTTGATGTCGAAGAAGTATATTAAAAATTATTTTTTCTCAGCGTTTTCTCCGATGTCCCCTCTTGCCTTGAGTCGTGGGCAAAAACCCGCAAAATCGCCATTTTCTCTACCGGCAGTGTGGAATCTCAAAAACTGCTGTTCTCACACACTACAGAGGGTGACATATCAGCACATATCTCCAGTTATTTCGACCAAACCGTCGGCAAAAAGACGGAAGCCAGCAGCTATGAAAAAATCGCCAAGGAATTGGAGGTCAAGCCAGAAGAAATCTTGTTTGTCACTGATCTAGTTGCAGGTATGTCAAAATATTCCAATTTTAACTTCCTATGCCAATATTTATTTTTCATTTTATGACGGGAAATGAGTTTGAACATTTTGTCTTGACAGGTATGAACATTTCTATTTATGGAATTGCTCTTTTTGCTGGGTACATCACTGACCTAACTTACTGCTACTGTAGTTGATATTTTGCCATATGAATTTTCTTGCCTTAACTGTTTTCACTGGTTCCACTGATCAAAGTTGTAATTCTTTTTATATTTCTATAAGTTTCTGAATCTACAGCCACTTGAAATCATAGAACTAAGTCACAAATGATACAGAAAAGCTGGCAGTGAATTCAATCTGGCATTCAATAAAGAGTGTATTGTCTCGACAACATTCTTGGAACAACGTATATTGTGGTTGTGTATGTTTTTATTGATAAATATATTTCAAATTGTATTCAGTCAAGGGAAGTAGACAAAATTTTTTCACTACCTTGATTCTGGATTGTTTGCCATGACAATAAAACTTTCATACAATTATACATGTATTTATCAATAAAAACATTATGTCCTGATAAAATGAAACTTGTTTGATTGAAATTTGTTATTTGGCACTTCACTTCTTCCTTGTATAATATTTGTTGCTGTGGCATATTGAGAGTGTTATTTTAATTTGCTCTCAACAAAGGGCAATTTTCGGTTCATGGAATTACTGATACCATCTTGAGTCCAAACATAATTCAAGCCAAGCGGAATTTGCTATTTTCAATATTCTTTACGTGCCGATCACTGTTTCTCATATTTTTAGTGAGTCAGCAACAAAATGAGATGACATATTCTTATGAATATTAATTTGCTGATTAGTATGTATCTGCACGACGCTAATGAGTGTATTTGCATGGTTTTAAATTTACTGTCTTTCTGAGGTGGGAAATAAATTCAAGAGCTGATTGGGATGATTTTAATTTGATGAGAGTTCCTGAAAGAAGAAAATAAATGTCCTAATTTCACCATTGAATTTAAAGGATGTGTAAAAATGTATTGTTTATATGTCGCCAATTTTTCAATTTACCCTATATAAAATGTATAAGTTTTGATTCATTAGAATGAGAGTAATATATTGCTTGCCAAAATATTTTTTATGGTATCTCCTTACATCGAATTTTTAAAAATCACTAAATATATAAATGCAAATAATGTCTGAACCATGAATAATATTTAGTGATATGAATATATGTCAATTATACAGGGTGACACTCGGCAACCGGACAATTTTGAAATAGGTGTTTCAAAAAGAATTTTCAAGATAATAAGGTTTTATTTGCATTTTCGATTCTCCCTGAAGAGCTGATTCCATCAATACATCACACGGTGTAGCTAGCAGAAATTATTACAAAGATATAGGGTGTTCAAAATCGACATTTTTCAAATTTAGTTTTTTTTTGTGCCGAATATATTCATTATTGGTTAAAACGGCTTACATTTCCCTATCCTAACTATTGATTTACTATCTACATTCAATTGGAACAGATAAAGGGTGGTTCAAGATTCAGAATCCTGATCACCCTGTATCAGTTCCAATTCAATTACCGCAAATTAAAAATATGTAGAATGTATGAATAACATTTACTGTACCTAGTTCTTGGTTTTAGTTTTTTTAATAAATTTTGTTTGTTAGTTTCATAATCTTTTTGAAAATGACTTGTTATCTGAAGAAGGCGGAAAAATTATAGCTATAACATGGTTGTAAAGTGCCATTTCCGACCTTGAATGATTACTTCATCCTCGGAAGGAAAAGTGTTTCTTTCACTTTCCTCCGTTGTTACACAAATAGCGATTTCCAATTTTCGTGGTGAAATTGCAAATAATTAGTAATATCGAAGTGATGGCTAAAAGTTACACTCAGATAAAAATCGAAATTTCTTTAACATTTTTGAATACTGCATAAAAAGTGTAGGTAATAGTAATTTTCCTAACAAGTGCGGAAAGTGATTCTTTCCCGCACGTGACTGCCGTTGACACGAACGACGCGAAGCGGAGTTCGGGCAAGCAGTCGAGTACGGGAAAGAAACTTTCCGCATGAGTTAGGAGCAATATTTTTTCTACAAGCGTAGGAAATTGATTGAATCGTTCAATTAATTATTCAAGCAAATAGGAACAACTAACAAGAGATATACAGGGTGTTTCATAATTGAATGCTGATCCTAAAGGGCGATAATCCTTGGATGATTTTAAGGAAAATTCTTCATGTGAACATAGGTCCGTAACAGCTTCGTTTCTGAGATACAGGATGTTGAAATTTAACAAAAAAATCAGTTATTCTCCAATATCTCTGAAACCGCTCTGGCTTTTTCCTTCAATTTTGGTACATGCCAAGTATGAATAGAAATACATTTTTTCCATAATGAAGGATTTCGTAATTCCCATCAGTGGCGTCCCTGTTAACATACCCTGTCATATTTTTCATTAAAATAATAATACGCCACTGTCTTTTTTTCCAAATATATATTATTTTTGTAATTATCCTCTATCTTCTCATAAAAATGGTCCCGTGTCTTTTTTTCGTCCGGCGAACGGTTTTTGAGTTAGAAAATAAAATGCATTCATTTGCTTGTCCCTATTCGATTTTTACTCTTAGTCATAATTTCACAATTGTGGTAACCAAAAGATCTAAGCAATATTTTTATAATTTTATGGTAACTATTTTTAAGTATTTGTAATGAAGAAAAAAGCCAGAGCGGTTTCAGAGATATTGGGGAATAATTGATTTATTTGTTAAATTTCAACATCCTGTATCTCAGAAACGAAGCTGTTACGGACCTATGTTCACATGAAGAATTTTTCTTGAAATCATCCAAGGATTAGCGCCCTTTAGGATCAGCATTCAATCATGAAACACCCTGTATATTCTCTATCTATTAATTATTAGTAATAGCTATTGTGAACTTACAGTTTGACGCATTATGTTGGTTCATTGCGGAAGCCAGCAGGCCCATTAGGAGTTTGGTCTCTAGGTTCCAGACACTTCTTTGAAATGAGCCAAAAATACCTATTCTTCATTCGGTTTTTTCATTTCTTTATTGTTGCACCATTCAATAAAACGCGTGTATAGCTTCTCATACCTTTCTTAAGACTTCGTTGGTGATAACGCATCTGTATCAAATCCCTATAGCTAGAAGTTTTTGATCACATTGTGGCATTTCCACTGAATCGAAAATGAAAGTAACGCTGTGTCTGTCACTTCGACAATTTCAAACTTATTTGAGGTTTGATTGGCATGACAAATTGACGTTTCCCGTCAGATCAATCCAAATCTATAGGGGGATTTTTATAATAATCAATTTTTATTTCTCAATATTTTTCAATTTTTACAATAAATAGTGCAATTTGATGGATGATTCTGAACATACATACCTAATACTGCAACAAACAAACTTAAACTTTTATATTCCATCACCAACCACTTATTTTACTAGCGATTTTATCATATCTTTGTTTTCCCGCACTGTTGCGGGAAAATGACACTTCCCAAACTAAATTGCGTGCGGGTATAGGGTGAATCACGCACGCTTGTAGAAAAATATGTATACCAAATTCCCTCGTTTCATCTCATACTGATTCGAAAACAACATAAAAAACATCTTAGGAAAGCTTCCAAGAAAACAAATCTGTAGAGAATAATTCTCATTTCATTCGTTGACGTTGCAGAGGCGGAAGCGGCTAAATCCGCAGGATTGTTGACAGCCATCATTGCCCGAGAAGGCAACGAAAAGTTGCCGGAAGACGCCGCTAAGGAATATCCCGTCTTCAAGAGCTTCGAAGATTTCGTTTTCGAAAAAGCGGCCAAACGCAAAAACGAAGAGGCCGCCGCCACAGAGGTTCGTTCAAGTAAAAGTAGAAGGCATAGATGAAAGTTTGTAGCTGGATTTGTAGAGGGTTGTCGTTGGAATAGACTAATCACGTTTTCTATATAGGTCCTTTTTTATTTTTTATTTATGCCAATGACCTTCTTTCATGTATTGAAACATGAATTACTGACAATATTGTATGCAGATGATACGTCCTTTTCTCTCCACCTGAATCCTTCAGGCTCAAATTTGAAGATATTTTAGCCCATGGAAACAATGGTTTGATAATAATGCATTATATTTTTATCAAACAAAAACAGAGGTATGTTTATTCTCAAAGTATAACAAAATCCATGCCACTAGATCAAAATTAATAAAATTCTTGGGAGTTTATCTCCACCCACCCCTCACATGAGCCACACATATGGATCTTCTTCTTCTTCTCTGCACAGGTGGGCGGGTGCGTAGACCCCTGCACTCAGGCCTCTTCAGTCGGGCCCATTGTGCGCCCACTTGTCCTGTGAATCAGCTGGGCATGCCGATTTCTTTGACGAAATTCAGCAGCTTCCTCAGCTGAGTGGCTTTCACATCCTTTGGGTGCAGTACAATGCTCCCAAAGGCAGCTCCAAGCACCATCTGCAGATGGGATCATCTTTGATCCTTATGAGGGTGGTTGTGCCCAGTTAAGAGCCCAACTACCATCTTGAGATCCCTTCTATTGAGTGACAGGATCTCTCTCGTGAGCCTTTTTGAAGGTTCCTTTATATGGAGCTTTGATTGTCTCATTCCTGGTGTGTCCCGCCATGTTTCAAGGAACTGCCTCTGTAACATTTCCTTCATGAAGGACAGCCGTACTATTGGGTATTCCCAATATCGGTTCTGGTCGAATGGGTGTCGTTCCTGAACCGATCTTGGCTAGTCTGTCTGCCTCCTCGTTCCCCGGGATACCAGAGTGTCCTGGAACCCACATGAGGCTGACTTTCCTAGTTTTTGCTATATTTTCTAAGGCACTTCTACACTCGGACACCAATTTAGTTGTGATCCTATTGGATCTCAATGCCATAATAGCAGCTTTGCTGTCCGAGCATATGGTGACTGGTCCACGTCCACTTCTGCCTAAATTTTCTTGGACACACGTCAGAATTGCAAACACTTTGGCCTGGAACACTGAAGCGTATTTGCCAAGAGTTACTGAGATTCCTTTCCCTGTTCCTCCTTCATATACTCCTGCACCAGACCCACCACCAAACCTTGAGCCATCCGTGAACCCGGTTGATTCGTTGGCAGGAAGCAAAACTGGTGTATTGCCAGTCCATTCCTCTCTTGTAGAAAAAATGACATGCAGAGCTTTATTGAAATTCAGAATTGGCAGAGTGCTGTCCCTTATCATCAGCAGACTGGGACAGCTTTCTTCGGCCTTGTTCCATATTAGGGAGTGTCCATAGTCTGCCTTTTCGATCCATTGGTTTGCACCTTTGCAATGTTTCATTCAGTGATGAGGTATGGGTTCCTGTGATGGGGTAATTCGAGCTTCTCACACCTTCAAAGAGTTTTTACACTCCAAAAAGCTGCTGTACGAAGCATTGCAAAGGTTAATTATACTGAACATTGCCAACCATTTTTTCAAGATTTAAAAATTATATACATTCACCACACACAGGCTTTCATGATGATAATACCACATAACATGTACCTCATAGAAGGAGATTAGAAAAGAGCAAATCCATAGGTATATAATAATAATAATAATAATAATAATGATAAATGCTTTTATTGACTCAATGGAAAAAAAGGCAGAGTTCAACTCGCCGATAAATCGACAGCTGCTATTCCACTCAAGATTCTAGTTGGAATGAGTCTCTACAAAATCAACAACTCTAGTGAGTTGATCAATGACTCTTGTAGACAACTAGTGCTATTTTAATTTTGATTGATTTTATCACTTGAACTTTTTTGTTGTTTGTAACTCTCCTGTTTCTTGGTACGTGTCCATAACCTGTATATCATGGATGTAATATTATTTATTCTATTCCATACAACTGGTTGGCTTACAAATGACGACTATTAAAACAGTCAACGATGGTCAGGTTAGGTTAGGTTAGGTTAGGATCACTTGAACTTTTTTGTTGTTTGTAACTCCTGTTTCTTGGTACGTGTCCATAACCTGTATATCATGGATGTAATATTATTTATTCTATTCCATACAACTGGTTGGCTTACAAATGACGACTATTAAAACAGTCAACGATGGTCATGATTATTTATACAGGGTGCTTGCAAATATGAGGCATCTACTTTAACATGATGTATATTTGATCAAAATGAACTACAAATTATAGTGTTGAAAAGGAATATTCTCAGATAAATTATGAACATACAAAAAAGGATATATATTGATATAAAACAATACATTGAGAATTCGCATTCTCTATGTGATGAGAATATTTACTCTTTTTCAGTTAATTCAATAGAAAACAACTACTTTCCTGGCTATATGCCACGACGAACATTGAATTATATCTATTGAACACACAAAAGCAAATACAAATTATAGTTTCTCGCAATTATAGGAAAATCATTTCTAGGAAAATCATTTCTAGAAAGTTATAATTCTTGATCCAATTGCGAATTGGGGGCAAAAATGTGACCGACTTTTCATCAGAAAAAAATATCACTGTAATACAGGAGATAACATGGAAATGAGCGATTTTAAAAAATAATTTCTATTATGGTTTATCTTGTCACTATCTCTCATACAACACGCCCCATTTCATTAAACGTCCTGTCCTGTATAAATAAAAAATTCACATACTTATTAGACAGTTGGTGAGTGTGAACATGACTGAATTCTTCTAATTTTGTTCTTAGTAATATTTTATCTTATTGGTATTTGTAGTTTCATGAAAAACATAGAACTATCCTTCATATATCTCATTTTTATTCAAGCCAATTTTAAATAATTATCCACTTAGACGTCATAATTTTGAAAATTTCAAAGTCAAAGCAGGCTTATCACGTTTTGACTCAGTGGTTTCAGCTATTGTTGATATTTTTTAATACATTCATATGGCTGGGTGTTTCTCACAACATAATAATATTTATAAGAGCTCTGGCCATAACATGATATAAATTGAAATTTTATCATTGTCAATTAATATATTCACTCTGATAACACTTTATAGATGCTATTATATTTTACTGATTCAAAGAAAGGTGCATTTGAATAGTTTTTCATTCTCGAACCCATTGAAGTAGTTCAGATTTACCATGCCGTGAGAAAAGTAATTCTGCAGGAACTGATGAAATGAAATGTAAATTGTGAATCATACTGAAAATTCCAAAACGGAAACCTTCTACTGTTTAGACAAGATATTCAGATTCCCTAAAACTTAGTTCTGGTTATGGAGGATAAGTAGTGACAAAAAAAAAACGTGGCAAATTTCTCCTCAATCCCATCAAAAATCATCGTTTTTGTTGGATTATTCATAATTCCTTAACAGTGTGGTCCTTGATATTTCCTCCTGATTAATATTTCTTTTTGCTAGATTAATTGGGATTTTCTCATCGTTTCTATGAAATGAAAAAATGAGTAGGTATCATTTCAATTTGCATGTAATAAGGACCAAACAGATAAAAATGTCCCTGCGTTTAAAAATGTTCTTATCAGAGAGCCTAAAATAGTTATTTTTGTATCTAGAGCGCGAAATGCTACTTTGGTGATCGAGATCTGATTTTTTTAACGAGGCGTAGCCGAGTTAAAAAATAGTCGAGATGACCAAAGTATTTCGCGCTCGAGTTGCAAACAACATTTTTTCTACAAACGTCAAAAAATATGGTTCTGAAGTAAAAATATGCTTAGCGTGATATAAAAAATAGTGTTGAACTGGCTTAAAAGGCCTCCTCCTACCCTCCCTAGATACGCACGATGTTTCACGAATATAAAAGGAATTTCCTTTCGTGTACTCCAAGAGATAAAACAAAGTTATTGTTGAACATTCAGAAATGAATGATTTCGTGGATGTTTGCTCGATTGAGGACCATAAAGTTGAAACATAAATATCTCATATATTTTACATAACAATGCGCGAAGTAGGTACTTCGCGCACTGTTTTACTTCGCGCATTGTCTTGTGCAAGGTATCATGGTAACGTAGGAAACTGAAAAAAAGTGTCACTTCGCAATTTGTTATCAATGCGCGAACCTTGTCATTTTTTGACGTTTGTAGAAAAAATAAATCAATTGTTTGTCAGTAACACTCCATTGGTCTAAAAAATTTTTGAAGAGAAATGTATTGAAAAAATATCGAACTTTTAGTCATGAAGTTTCGGAAACGAATCTGCTTCAGTATATTGAAATATCACTCATATTTTTATGCTATGGAAACGAGGAGGAAATCCCAAATAATCTAGCAAAATGAATGTACCCACAGATAGTATTCAAGAATATTTCATCCTATTTGATTAGTCAAGAGAGAACTTTGAAAAAACATCAATGATTGGACATTGAATACTAAAATAGAATATTTCAAGTGTTCCATGTATAAAGCATCAATATTTTTGTCAGGTAGTGACCTCAAAATTTTATTTTCAGTATATTTTCCATTATTTTGAAAACCATGTTTTATAATACTATAAATTGGGTTAAAATTGAACTACCAACAATTATTTTTGTCACCAGTTGATGAAATTAAATTTCAATGATTAGTCTATTTTCGATGATAACCTCCACATTTTTTCCATGAACTAAAAATGTATTGTGTTGTGAAGTAGTCATAGTTCCAGTAGTTCTAGTTCTCTAGTAGCTTTTAGAATTGTTAGTATCATGAAAATTGTATACCAAATAAATTCTGTTGTGACAGTTTATCTTTTTTTTTCCTGTATCTTCTTGTTTCAATCTTCAACAATGTCATCTCATTTCATTCTTCATTATCTCTTGCTGTCCGTTTAGGAGCAACCTCCCTCGAAAGTCGCTAAGACTGAAGAAGTGAAACCAGCCAAAGAAGAGCCTGCAGAGGAAAAACCATCAGAAGAGGCCAAACCAGCAGAAAAATCTGCTGAGGCAGCACCATCTGTGGAGCAAATCGAGGATGAAGCTATGGAGGTTGACGCCCACGAAAAAACTGAAGGTTTGTTAAACAAAATTGATAGATTTCAGGTTGAAAATCAATTAATTGAATGAAGTAATGATTGAATCTATACTAATATTATGAAGAGGAAAGATTTGATGGATCGATTTGTCTTAAAATTGGTGGGGAGGTAGCTTAAAACCAGGGGAAGGTTATAGGATACTATTTATCCCGGTAACATTGGGAAATTCAAGATGGCGGATCCATATCGGACGAGTTTTGTAATGATGGTCCGATTCTATTCAAAATTGGTATCTGGGGGTTTTCGGGGTCGGACATGATTCTTTCGTCAAAATTTAAAAATTTGGGCGGAATTTGGAGATGGCGGAACCAATATGGCTGAAGAGTTTCGTAATTATAATCCGATTCTATTCAAAATTGGTACCTAAGGCTCGTGACTTTCATGACAGAGGAGACTGAATGATATGAGATTTATTGTGAAAAACAACTCTCTACGACTCATCCAAATCAATAGCTTTAATGACATTCTGTTTACCAGTTAACCTGAACTCAATACTTGAAGAGATGTGTTCCTGTGATTTGCGAGGCAAATTTTTCAAATCATTATATCCTAATCGCCCCCCAGGCCCCAACATGATGACTTATCGGTTGAAAATAATATGCAGTACAACAGAATAGCTTATTATTCCTTACCTCAGATCCCGTCAACCAGATATATTTTTTATAATTATCAGAATTGACAAACGATTTTGTTTGCTACCTGTTACAATCAGATTTTTTAATTCCGGTGTCGGACGTTTGTTTTTCAAAATCAATTCATCTTCATAAGACAAAACACTGAATGGGTTCATCAAAAAGTATTCCACTAAATCGCAATCGTTTAAATCGCTAATTTTTCAGAAATTTATAGAGCCCCTAACCATTAACCTAACATAAACATGAACAATGCACTCGCACTAGATTGTCCGCAATTCGCGACACGACAAACACGTGCTATTCGGGCATTTGCATTGCGCGCATGGGTTGCGCGTTGTGAAGGAGTCTAGCCTCCAATAGATGTTGCCAAGTTGAATATTTTACGCGTGATTTGCAGACTTCAACGTGTGATGCGTGGGCAAGCACTGTTGCCAATTCAAAAATATTTACCTAAAGACAGGGTATAAAATGAAAATCCATGTATTTTGGTCTCCTTTTGATGAGAAAGTATAGATAATATCAGTTTAAGGAGAATCTCTGAGGAGGCTCAGCCTCCGTTGCCTCCTCTGAGGAGCCGCCACTGACCTAAGGGTTTTCGTCATCGGGGATTATGATTCATTCGTCAAAATTAAGAAATTCAAGATGGCAGATTTTGTAATTAGGATCCGATTTTATTCAAATTTGGTATCTGGTGGTTCTCAGGGTCGGATAGTGATTCTTTCGTCAAAAGCGGTCAAAAGTAGAAAATTCAAGATGGCGGTCCCGATATGGCTGACGAGTATTGTAAAGCTACTCTTACATTACAGCCTTTTTGCAGCAACTTTATTGCAAGCAATATAAATTGCACGCAAAATTAAAAACTAGAGAAACTAGTCTTCTTACATTTGCGACATTTTCCAAGACTTTCAGAGATTTCGAACTATTGACGTTGACATTTGACGTCATTTTTGACATTATAAGTTGTTGATATTTCAAAATAAACAAGTCAAGCGAAATTAGGTGGAAATTCATTTTGAAAATGGATAAAGGAAAAATACAAGTTTTACACATGGCAACTACTACTACTGCTGCTCTTGCCACTTACATAAAAAGGCGCATGGAAAACAGGAGGAATAGATCCTGTTGGAACAAACTATGGTTAAATAAAACAATGGGAAACCTAAGAATAACTAATGAATTCAAAGAGTGTAATGACTTGAAAGCTTTTAAAAACTATCTGAGAATGGATGAGCCTACATTTAATGTTAATGATTCTTCTTCTACTTTATAGTCGACCATTATACAGAACCACCAACACGATAATTAAGTTGTCAAAATCTAAAATCACTGAAAATATGCAAAGTTGCGCGTGAATGACCTTCAAAATTAGAAACATTTCTATATATTTCAAGCCTGAAAGTTGCAGTGAAAATAGGCCGAAACGCATGCGCAATTATTGTTTAACAAAGGCCAGCAATTCAGTTGCCAGCAATTTCTATGAAAAGTCTGTAATGTAAGAGTAGCTTAATTATGATCCGACTCTCTTCAGAAATGTTATATGGGTGTTTTCGGGGTCGGAGATTATGATTTTTTTGTCAAAATTTGGAAAGGGCGGTATTTGGAAATTCAAGACTGGAACCAATATATCGGATTAGTTATGTAATTAAATACCAATTCTATTCTACTAGGAGTAAATATAAAATTTTTTTTGGGGGCATATTGTTTGTTTGATGTGTTCAAAAAACGTTTAACTTGAAAGAATTACCAATGTTGGATTTTTTTCAGAGAAAGTGGCTCAACCAGCTACGTCAGAGAAGGCCGTTGAACCGACAAAAGAACCAGTACCAGAAACCACTGCTAAACCTGCTGAGCAAACCGAAACTGAAAAACCGACTAAAACTGTATCAGCCCCTGAAAAGACTGAAGAAAAGCAAGCTGAATCCAAGACTGAAGAGAAAATAGAAAAACCACAGACTGAAGCCAAACCAGAAGTAGAATCCACAATGGAATGTGACGAAGTTGCAGAAAAAATCGAGAAAAATGTCGAAAAAGTTGAAGAAAAAACGGAAGTAAAAAAAGTTGAGGAAACAGACAAAGAAAAACCAAAAGAAGCTAGCAAATCTGCAGAAAACAAAGAAACTGTTGTTGAAGAAGACAAAATCTGTGATAAACCAGTAGAAGAAAAGAAAGTAGAAGTTGAAACAAAAACAGTAGAAGATAAAGTAACTGAAAACAAAGAAAAAACGATAGAGGTAGCTTCTGAACCAACTGAGACAAATTCCAAGAGCCAGGAAGAAAACAAAACAGAAGCTGCCAAAGTAGAGGACACCAAACCAGAAATAGAAGAAAAGAAAGCTGAAGAAACTAAACCAGAAGCTGCTAAAGCAGAAGAACCCAAACCAGAAGCTGCTGAAGTAAAAGAAGCTAAACCAGAAGATGCTAAATTAGAAGAAGTTAAACCATCAGAAGCTGCAAAAAAAGAAGAAACCAAACCCGAAAAAGAAACCTCAACTGTTGAAAAAAGTAAACCCGTTGAGGAAAGTAAGACAGCACCAGCAGAAAATGGAACAGAGAAAACAGAGAATGGTACTTCAGAAGAAGAGACGAAGGTAGTCGAGAAGGAGAAGGAGAACAAAAGCGAGATGGCGAATGGCATCGAGAAAGAAACGACCAATGGCGTCGCCGATGAAGAAAAACAGAACGGTGAAAAGGAAGAATCGTCCAGCAATGTAGAAGAAATCAAAGCGAAGAAAATGGAAGAGCCTTCTGCCGAAAGTGCTCCCCCTGTAAGTGTGGAGGTTTAATTGTTTATATCTAATGCGTTTCGATGTAAATGTATACATTTGTAGTGCTCTTTTTTATTTATTATCACGGAACTCTATTTTTAAGAAGCTTTCTTGGTTTTCTACAGGGTGCTCTGCTCTAGAATGACATTTCAATATAATGATTATTGTTTTTGTGGGTTTGCCCTGTGGATAGATCTATATGCGTTTCTGTTTTATAATTGTGAGAGATTTTCTAGTTTGATGATTTTTTCCTGTGTTCCGATGGGAAGGGAAAAATTTTTCTAAAATGTGCCAACTGAGTTGAAGACTGGATCCACATTAAGACTGCATTGGCATTTTATCAACTGTATCACAATCAGTATTTTCGTTTGCCACTTTTGGAAATTGACTTATTGAGACGGAGGATGTTCTGGGGTCAGTATTGCTTTTTCTTGGCTGTGTTTGGTATTTAATAAATTGTCTTCATTTTCTACAAAAAGGGGGCAAACGACCAACCTATTTTAATTCTGTATCATTGTCTCTGTGTGTATTGTTAACATTCCTCGTTTAATGTATTTTGACTGTCTTATTAATTTTTTTTTTATTGAAAATACTCATTGCTTAGATCTTGATAATCATTTCTCTTAGCGTTTTCCACTCATTATGTGATAAACAAAGAAAAAAATATGAATTGGTAAACATCACATTTCGAGCGATTTTTCTTGTGTTAACTTTTCTAGTTTTTAAGTATTATTTTGGTGTACAGGCCTATGATAAGTGGCTGCAACTCTTGTATACGTTCAAGCTCATTAAAAGTTTTGTAGCGTTATGTATGCATTTTTGTTTCATTTCAAACTGCTTTCATTTTTTTTCCAAGTTGGGAAAGACCCAAAATCTGGGGATTATCATAACAATTTTCTTTTGTAGTGGAATTGCAGGATGCAAAAATAGATGGAAACAAACTGGAATTTTTATGTTTGCTATCAATTTTTATAAAATACTTGGTAAGCCATGTGGTAATTTGTATACCAGTTTATAGTCAATGTATTCACCAACTTCGGATTTGGAATGTAAGTAGAAAACATTTGATAGAATCATGACTAAAATGATGCAGGAATAGTGTCAAGAAGTACAAATGTCTATGAAATAACATCACTTGAACTTTCGTTCATTTCTAGATCTTTATTCAAATTAAACTTTTCCAAATTAAAACATCTTGTACAGCGTTTCGATCAGGTTAAAGCAGAGTAGCTTGCGATGCGGGCTAAGCTATACGCCCGGTATCGAGCATTGCCATTGCGGAAAATTGCAATGTTAGCATCGATTCCAAATATAAATAGATTCCGAATCGATAAGCCATTCATTACTGATTATCCATTATTATTGAGTTACTGATTACTAATTCATTACTATTTGATTATTACTAAACTATCTTGGCTCTTCATTTGGGGATGAATATGGTTGGGTGGTGAAATGATCAAAATCCTCTCATCAAGCCAAGCGAGTAGCCAAGTTGCGATCCATAGGGGAGCAACATATGAGTTGCGACATGTGGTGGACACGCCGTTTGCCAAATAATCTACCAAAACCATCTGAGTTGCGACAATCATTTCCCACGAGAATGAAATCATACTAGTGAAAATTTAGCATTCTGTGCGAGTTGAACACTACTTTTTCTACAGCTAACAGATTTTCGATCTCTTCAGCTTGTAGTCATCTGATTTTCCAAGTAATCCCTATAAGACGAGGCTGTCATTGCTTGAAATTTTATATTTCATGTGAGATGAGATTTTGTGAAATAATAACACAATGACGTCATGTGATATCAAATGCGGAAATGAAATTGATGACGTACAAAGTACCTCATTGGTAAGAATAATATAGAAAAAATACTTTCAATTTAATTGTTATGGTTTCCCTGAATTTTAATCACGTCATATAGACTGATATAGCGCTATACACTTTTTTTGGATCTGGGTATATTTTTTTGCTTTGAAGAAATAGTTATTTATTTATACAAGGAAAAAACATTATTTTGAAATCTGAAAATTATCGACGTGAAATTTTAGTTATTAACAGTAGGGACACCTGTGTTGTAGGCATCTTTATCACTCTTATGAAGTAATCAAATATCTGATGTCACTTCTGTCAGTCTAATTCTGTGATTTGATTTCAAAAAATAGCGAATTCAGTGGTTGTTTAGTAATATACGTAACCGCGGCGCGAAGTCGAAGGACTTGCAGTTCTTTCTCGGAGACGGTATTATTGACTCATTTTTCAGAAATATACCACAACAAAAGCCATCAACAGTGTATATATATGTGATATATATCCGGGAAGAAAGTTCTCACTTTTTTCCCACGGGAAAAAAGTAATTTATGAAAAGTGGCACCTGCCAACAGAGATGAAATGCCAAACTTTTTTCCCGTCACAGAAAAAGAAAACGTTTCTTGATGTTGACAATAAAAACCTCTTTGATGAAGTTTTCCTTTAGATTAGTTTAGTTTAGATCATTAATCATTGAGGATAATCGAGATATTTTTCTGAAACATTTGCCTAGTGTGGTTGCATTTATTTTGAACTAGAGGTTCTAATAGGCAGATATTATTTATAATCCACAGGTATAATCTAAGTAATTACTGTAATGACCCGATAATGTTAAAAGGTCATGACATAAACAAATTTACAGTTCATACAGGGTATTTTCCATGTTTATTATTGTATGGATCATCATTCAGCAAATATTGCCCCCCACTGATACAGATAAAGCTAATTGTATACCCAACATGGAACATGGCCAAACCAGTCACCACAATCGACGGTGAACTTCCATAAGCCCAATATCGATGACGAACAATATAATTTTGGACTGTGAACGCAAATTACTGAAATCACGCAAACTGCTGACTTTCTTGCTTTCATCATCTCAACCTCAACGCTCAGTGATCTGTGACGCTAGCAACCAACATACACGAAAAGAATGGAACACACGACGGCCGTTTTTTTCGATCTCGACAACACCCTGATCGCCACCAGGCGAGCAGACGAACGTACCTGCGATAAGGTAAATTGATTTAGTGATGTGCTTCAATTGTCTTTGACCAATCAGTTTTTACTGAGATGAATCGGGTTCCTCGCATGTTCCTCGATAGAAATACCGTGGAATAAAATGATGACAAAGTGACGTAAACTTTCACAGTCACGCACACGGCCACATGGCCTCGATTCGATCCTGTTAAGCCGGCACAGCGCAGACGCAAAACAATATACTCTGCTGAATACAATGTTGTCGGCTCTGCAATAAGTATTAGGAAGGAAATCTGTAATAGGTCTGTTTCAGTTGAAATTTTTAATAATTATTTTGTAGTAGTATCGTTCATCTTAGAGTTGTCTATATTTTCAAAATAATTGTTGATATTCATTATACATATACCGCGATCGATCCAATGCATTTTATGAATGATACGACCCATGTGCATACTACATTTTGTGTAATTGTATTGTTCCTTCCATTTTTTCATTGGATACATATGATCTTGCCATAGGTTTTAGCTGCTTATCCAAGTACTTACGGCATACATTGATCAAAAATTCAGGTGAATATTTTTTAAAATAAAACCTGATGAAAATACACGTCAACAGGATATAGATTTTCGAAATTTATTATTTCATATTACATGGAGAACAATTTGGAAGAAGTATCTATGAATGAAAAAATGCCCCCACTCCAAAAGATTTTTCCTGTAGCATACCCTGCCCGAATTTCATGTGGAATTCTCAAATATTTTTGGTAACATATATATTCACTATACGATCAAATCCCATAAACAACTCAATGGTGGAAACTGCATATCGATTTCTATCTTCGTTTCAGAGTTATAAGGTGTTTTTCGAAAATATGAATTTTTTAAAAATAGCTATAAAAATGATTTGTCTGGCAAAAATTCTTCGTTTTTATGAAAACATTTTCAAAGCATTCTGTTTGTCCTGAAAATTGATCCTTAGGTTCAAAATAGAACATTTCCTTTAAGAACAAGTTAAATTATTGTTACAGGAAGGCAGATTTCAGTGCCCCAGGAATAATTTTTATCAAGAAATCTATGCTTTGCAGTTATTTTCATGAGAACGAGAACTTTTTGCAAAAAACATTTGTAGCCACTTTTCAAAAATGCCCATTTTCGAAGAACACGTTGTAACTCCGAAACGAAGACAGATATAAGGTTTTTACCATTGAGTTTTGCACGAAAATAGACCCATAGTAACCCACATCAGTTTTCTTTTATCTAGTTCGAGAAAAGTACTTTCCCTTTAGAATTTGGCCCACTCTGTACATTCTTATGTATATTTGTACTTTAACGGTTGCAAATATTTCCTGCATTACAAATACAACATCATACCGAATTATTAAAATTGGTCAAGTGTACAAAGCAAGTAAATTTAATCCGCTACGCGTCGTGCACCAAACTTCATACATCTGACGGCAACAACTTGAACACTTCGGAGCGGTTTGTTTTGGTGATATGACCATTTAGCACAAACAAAAAACAAATGTGAACCATTAAAAACAAGGTAAACAAGCCGCTTTGACAGGTTTCAAGAACTCCGATAGGTGTCGTACGCTTATTTTATATCGCGAATATAAATATAGAGCTATTAATAATACACTGCCATTATATTTTATTGTAGTTATTACTACATACTTGGCAAGGCATTTGAATCAAATATTTATGCTATTGTTTTTCAATGTGAAAATAAAATGTGGTTGTTGACATACACATCTCATTTATGGGTTGCGTGCAAGAACTGTCAGATGACCGACACTGGAGGCAAAATATTGAAACACAACGTCACTTTACTTATTTGTTTACAAGTGATTGAAATAGTTTTTCACAATTATTTTGGCATACGAATCGTATTTTTCCGCTATTCATCAATTCGCTCATGCCATCACATTATGCTGTTGTGAAATGCACAAAAACTGCAGCGGAAGACGAAGTAATCCGGTTGGTACAATATGATTTAAAAGTAAGTACCTACGT